TGTTTCATTCTGAGGCAGCTATTTGCATCACTCATGAACCCCCACAGGAGGACAGTATCGGGGTGGATGGGCCCAGCCTAGAGGTCTGATGTGATCACTGTATGATGGTCTTGAGCAAGGCACTAAACCCTCCCTGAACCCAGGTTTCTTGTAACAGCAGGGAGGGGGAGTGGCGGGGAGCGGCAGATTAGAGGAAGTTGGAATCCTCTTCCTGTTCTAACATTGCACTGTCTGATCAGTAGCTACTGGCCACATGCGGCTGGTCTGAATGGAGATGTGTTCCAAATGCATAATACACATCAGATTTGAAAGACCTTACACAATGCTAGTTTAAGTGACCTCATTAATACATTTTATATTGATTATATGTTGAAATGATACTACTTAGGGGTATTTTGGGTTAAATAAAATATAAAATTTTTACTTTTTGAAATGTAGCTGCTAGAAGTTGTTGAAGAACTATTGATATTTTAATATATAAGTTTCAGAGTTCCCATTTCTTTTGTATGTGCATCGAATTCTAGAAAACTTAAAGGGGTCTTGTTTGGGGAAAAAATGTTACGTCATTTTCTAGTCAAGGGTCTTTTTTAACAAAAAGGTGAAAAGTTCATGCCACCTTGGCTAAGTATTTAAGAGAGTGTGAGGGGAAGGAACACCAATGTTTCTTACACCAGAATTTCATTTCCTTCTATTTTGAATGAAGCCATGTTGTCTACCTTTAGGCACGACAGTCTTTAGAATTGTCGAACATTTCCAGATTCCAGCACATGAAAAAGGATAGCTCCAAAAATGATGACCGGTGTCCTTCCCCATCCCCACGCACACACTTGCAACATCTCTTCTCTATGTGAGTACCAAGTATTTGGAAAGCACCTAAGCACCTAAATGCTCAGCCAATGAGCTCCCCAAAACACATATTTAATAACCACTTCCTGAAATGCATGAACTGCTGGGTCAAACAAAAAACAGTGGACAGAGGACATCAAATACGTCTTCAGACTGATGATCTGGGTAGGAAGAGGGCAAACCTGGCAACACAATGAGCAGAGTAGAAGGTTAGGTTGTCTGAGGAGACACACATAGGCATGGACCTGCAGGGCCTTGCGTGTAGGAAGGAGACCTAGGACCTGGCATGAAAAGCAGAGCCTGAATGACCTGACAGAAGCCATGTTTCCAGGGAAACCATTCCTCTCTTCTCGGCCGTGCTCTGTATGTGTATGTCCCCCAACTAGGGGACCTGATTCAAATCCAGTGCCACATCACATTACTCTTACTCTCTCATGTGTACATAGTTTTGCTTCCTCCAGGGAGAATGATACATTATTCCTCAAGGGTAAGAACCAGGATTGATGGTTTGTTTGTTTTTTAATAGCTCATGACTTCCAGGAGAGTAGTCTGCCTGGCCAACATGGCTAGTTGGTTGGAGTGTCATCCCATAACCAAAAGTTTGTGGGTTCAATTCCCAGTCAGGGCAAATACCTGGATTGCAGGTTTGATCCCATGTTCAGGAGCCCACAGGAGACAACCAATCGATGCCTCTCTCTCACATTGACGATTTTCTCTCTCCATTCCTCTCTAAGAGCAATGAAAAAAAAAAATTCCTCAGATAGGGATTAAAAAATTTTTGCCAAATGTGTTTCTTCTTCCTTTATGTATTTAATGAGGGAAAATGAAGAGAGAATCCTAATTCCTAATGCATGCCCTTTCGGGGCAAAAGAGTAAATCAGATTGCCTTCTAACTCTTTGGTATCCCTTTTCTGTGCTTTTCTCCATTTTTCCTGCTGATTTCCTAGGTTCTTACCACCAACATTTTGTCACTGAAACTCTAGTCTTTGACTTGCATGTCTCCAATCAAATCCCCTCTCCTCCTTTCACCACCCATTTCCTTGGCGCCTTGGGAGGAGTAGGATCCCTTGTCCCCCAGCAGGCCCTGGGCTGGACCAGAGCTGAAAATCTGCTTGCACCGGGTGGTCCTCCCTGATGAAGCTCTACAATTTACCTGAAGACTGTTCTGATCAGTTCAAATTGCCAGAGAAATAAGAAAGACATTTATTAAAGAAGTATAGAAGGACCTGGAAGTTACTACACAGTGACAAGAGAGGAGTGTTTTGTTTATTTGTTTTTTACTATTTTATACATGAGTAATAACTTACACCCAACAGCAGCTTTGGAGGAAGGTAGGCCCAATTTGGTTAAAGCCATAGGCTTTCCCCTACCAGGAAAAAAAAAATAGCTCTAACTCTGCACAGAACATTTACAAAGCCTGAATTTGCTTTCTCGCTCTCTCTCTTTTTTTTTTTTTTTTAATTTTTTGTTGCCATCCCAACTCTAAATTAATCATTACAAAGTTACTTTCAGGAAGAAATAATAACTTTCTCTTCAATGGAGTACTGTACAGTTAACTTCTTAGAGTTTTTAATCATCTGAGAAAGCCAGTTTAATACTGAAAAATGTAGCAGAAAGCCACTTGAAAATATCACCACAAATACTTGAAGGATCCTGGGTCCCAGAACAAGGCTCTTGTTAAAACAAAGTGAGAGTTGGTATCAGAGGCAGATCAACTGCAACAGATGAGAGTAAAATGTGGTTTATAGGATAATTAATCCAGGATAATTAATGCAGGATAAACATTTACATTTCTTTTTCACTTTTCCTAATATTGCATATGATGTAGAATTGGAGATTGGCTATTATTTCTGCTATTATCTTCATTTTTATTTTAACAGAGAGAAAACCTCAAGTGATAGGTCCTAAGGTATTGGTAAGTCCCTGCTTTCTTCCAATGACTTCAGTGGACTAAGACTAACCTTCACCCTTTGCAACCTAAATTACAGGCATATGGTGTTAAATTATATCTACTTTAGTAAACTTGCTTTTGCAAAGCTACACCATGAAGTAACTGTGCTACATTTTCTCCACTTTTGCAGGGTGGCTGGGGGTTGTTGAATGTAATTTCCAGTTTCCAGCCTCAGTACTAACTCCATGCCGTTCACTTCTCTCAAGAAAGAATATCTTCTTTTTTTCAAATTATATAGCCCTCACCAATTCTGATCTTCCTCCATAAGGAGTGAAGGCTGGTTCCAACATCTCTGGCCCCAAAGAATCACCATGTTTTAAACTAATGAGCAGTCTCAGCTTTAAGGATTCTTGCAGGTTAAAAAGGGATGTTTGCAGAGAAAACCAGTAGGTTGCGTCTTCCATGGCAGAGATTAGGTAAAACAAGAAAAACATCTCTTTATCCCTACCTTTTAAGACTTTTGGCTGCTTTAGTCCTTGGTGGACATTATTCCCTTATATATAAAATGACACCAATGTAAGTATTCTGGTAACAAGTTAGCTCTTTGCTTAACAGTGTGTTTGTGTGTTGTATAATTATTACTGGTCTGAACAACCATGCATAAATTGCATGAGTGTGGGTGTGCACATGGAATGTGAACTTCTCCTCTTTCTTATTCTCCAGGCGCACTGTGTGGAAGGAAGAGAGCTTGGGTCCTAAAATAAGACTGATCTGCTTTATTTTTTTTTAAACTTTCTACTTTGAAGTAATTGTAGATTCCTATTAAGTTGTAAGAAATAAAATAGAGATTCCTTATGCATCCTTTACCTAATTTTCTCCAATGATGACATCTTGCATAACTAGTACACCATCACAACCAGGCAACTGACATAAATACAATCCTAGGGCCTTGCTTAAATGTCGCCAGTATTACATGCATTTGTTTGTGTGTGTGTGTTCTTAGTTCTACCCAATTTTAGCATATGTGAGCTGCTTTGGAATCCCAGCTCTGCCAAGTGCTACCTGTGTGATCCTAAGCGAGGTCCCTAACATCTCTAAGGCCCAGTCTCCTCAGCTGCAAGATGAGTGTAATAATGCCTGCATCCTAAAGGCAGTGCAAGGATGAGGTAAGGTCATTCCAGCACACTGGATTCTCAAATGCTAGTTTCCTTCCTGTCCCTTGTTCTCTCAGTAGCAAGGCAGCTTTCTCCAGTTTCTTTTTGAAATAACCAGACTTGTGGGTTATAATAAATCAGGTGTCTCCTTCTTCCAGGGCAACACATTTAACCCTGCAGCTTCTGCAGAGAGAGCGAGCCCTGGGTATCTCCACAGCCCACGGCTGCCACCAACCACTCTAGGCCTGGTCTTGGAATCCCGTTTGCATCCAGATCGGAATTGTAAGGACGGGGGAGTTAGAAAGCGGAGACTTGGGGAGTTGGGGGCGGAGGAGTGGAGTAGGGCGGAAGAGAGAGGTGGCGGTAAACACCGAGCAATAGTTGGCGGGGAAACTACCAACTCCAAGGCTGTTCTGTCCTGTGTGGCTAGTGACCGAGGGCTGGATGTACCCGCGGAAGGCTGGATAAGGGGTGGGGGCCTACGAGGACAATGTGGGGCAGGTGCAGAAGCCAGTCAAGACCTGGTTAGGAGCGTTGCACTCGCCCTAAAGGATTCAGAGCCGAGTCTAGAGCCCTTCCGCCTCCTGGACTTTGCTCCCAATAACGGCCAATGGGAGCCCGGGGCCGCCTGAGGGCAAGAGAGGCACCTAAATGCCCCGTGAAGTACCGCTAGCTGAAGGCGGGGCCTTCCCTCCACCTCTGAAAGTGGCCGCCGGCTCTGCTGGGCGCAGCGGGGTGTGTGAGGGCGCGTTTGAAAGAGCAGGGAGACGAGCGGGCTGGGGTTCGAATGTTGGATGCGCCAGCTGCTGTCCGGCGGCGACCTCGGGGCGCTGGTCTCCACCTGCACCCCCTCGAGCCCTGGCGTTTCCAAGTTCAAATCTCCGAAGCGACCTCCCCCCGCGTCGAGCGGCAGACAGGATCGGACCGGGCTCCTTCGGCCTCCGCGACCCCGAGCATTCGGGACCCGGGCGCAGTCCCGGTGGAGGTTGCGGGGGGACAGACCCCGCGAGGGCCCCGGAGGCGCTAGGCGCTCCTCCCCTCACCGCCCCTCAGGCACGGGTCGAGGAGGAGGAGCCGCGCCCGGGCCGGCACCGCCCTGGCTCCTCCTCCCCGCGCGGGCCTGGCCCTTCCAAACCGGCGCCCAAAGCTCCGGGTGGCCGCGGCACAGCCGGGAACCGAGCGCGCTGGGCGCGGCCGTCCCGCTGCGGCTGCCGGCGCGTGCGAGCCCTGAGTGCGCTCACGGCCATGGTCCCCGCGGCGGCGACCGGCGCCTGAGCCCCGGGACTTGGTAAGCGAGGAGCCCGCTTCCGGGACCCCAGTTCCGCGGCCTGGGGGTGCGCGGAGGCCTCGCGCGGCCCCCGCGTCGTCGGTGGGGCCCTGCGCGCCCGGCATGTGCCCGGCCTAGAAGAGGCACGGGCTTCTCCTTCGGGACCAGGGCTGGAGCTGTCTCCGCGGGCCGGGCGCAGGGAGCGGCCGCAGGGAAGCGGGTGGCCTGGCGGGCGGCCGGGCCGGGACTCTCCCGGGGGACCAGGCGGGGAGGGGGCGGCTTCGGAGGCGGGAGGAGGGGCCGGTCGTGGAGGCGCGGACTGCGCTGGCGGGGGCGGGCCGGGGGTGGGAGGACGCGCGCCGCAACCCCTGAGTCGCGCTTTTGTAAAAGCTGGCTCCTTACATATGGAAATGACGGTCGCGCGGGTCTCCAGTCTCGTCCTTTTGAAGGACGCCCGCCCAGAACCTCAGCGCCGCCTGCGAAGTATTGTCCCGCTACTTGCGCCCTAACAAAGCATCCACCTTCGCTTTGCAGAGCACTGGAGGCGGGCGGCCCGCTGCGCGGGCGCAACGGAGAGGCCGACGGAAGGTAGGCGAGGACCGCGGGGCAGAGAGAGCGGGCTGCCTGGCGCTGCAACGGGGTGTCTGAGGTTTCTAGGGGCGGCGATGAGCAGGCGGGTCGGGGACGCATCGGCATCACAGGTTGCCAGGGACCGAGGCGGCGCGCCCGCCCTTCTGCGGCACCTTCTGCCTCCGCAGTCGGGTCTGGGCACCTCCGCCACCCGCGTGGTCCCAGCCCGCAGCCGACAGCTGAAAGGGGCTGCTGTATGTTGGTCCAGGAGTGGACGTGAGTCCCGGACGGAACAGAAAGGATAGCTGTTCTGTTGCCTTGTGCCACCAAGGCAGGCTTGTGATTGAGAAGCTGAGGAGACCTGTCTGGGGAAACCCGAGGTGTTAGCCTTGAGTCTGGGAGAGCTACCCTTAAAGTGGGGATTTTCGAAGGTGTGTGGGATCGATGCATAGAGAAAGACTTTCCCAGGGCAATTACTAGTAAGAAAGGGAAAGAACAAAATGTCAGTTTATTGCCTGAAAGCCGAAGCAGAATGCAAGTGGAGTTTAGCGGGAGAAGGTTCCAGGGGCTGGGCTTCTACAGCTACCAGACCGGTCTCTGACAAAAGGACAAAGCTGCTGGAAACAGTTTACTGCTGAGAGCTCTTTCTGTAAAGTTGAAAGAGATAGAGATAGAAAGAAGCGCTTTCCGAGCCTCAGCCCTGCAGATAAAATGGGGGCTGGGAAAATTGTTCTACCATGAACCCGGTGTCTAGACAACTCAGCTATTATGAGATCTTTTGCTGTCTTTACTTGACTGGAAGAGATCCCCTCCTAGTGTTGAGAATTCCTGAGATGGGCTTGCCGTACAACTTCACTACTGACTGTAGGAAATGAAGACATTGCCTGGTTGTCTTTTGTGACTGAGGTGGGTGGTGGTCAGGGTTAAAATCCTAATTAAGTCCACCATGGCAGGTGGGCTAAGAGCCTGAGACCATCGAAGATTCCCAGTTGCCTCCCTTACATATGTTAAAATAAATTTATATGTTTACTTGTTTCCTGAGGCTTGACAGTCTGCAAGGAAATTTCTTCTCCCATGTCAGCGTAGTTTTAGCTTGATCTTCTCTAGTGGCCAGCCTATCGGTGGCTGACCTAGAATATTGGCAGCACTTGCTCTGGAGTTGAAGGGGGCCGTGAAAAATGCCCAGGCTGCGTGTGAAAGGAACATTACAGGCTGGCCGCAAAGCCAGTTTCTTGTGGTCTCTTCAGCTGTTGTCAGTGTCCTTAGGGAGGTCAAGTGAACTGCTGGGGAGCTTCTCTGCCGATTTGTTTACTTTCACCTATGCTGTGCTGAGTCTTTCAAGGAGAGAATTCTGAGCTGCAGTGTAGATAAAGGAGTGGGACTTAATGGATGTTCCAAATAGGTTGAACGTGGGGCAAAGGCAGGAAAAGGCTTTACAGGGGACAAGAGAGAGGAAGCCATCGCAGGCGTAGTCTTTGCATTAAAATCTCACATATCAGTCTTTTTAATAGGAAGTTGCTCAGAATGGTATGGGTCTCTTTTCTTGTTTGTTTGTTTTTTTTATTTTAGTTATGTGATGACCCTTAATATCAAAAGATATTAACTGTCACAGAGGGGCTGCAATGAATTCTGAACAACCAATCTTAATTTAATGGGCAATATTCTTATCATAAGTTAAATGTTGTTCAAATAAATTGTTTTAAATGCCACTGCAAATGGCTTTCTAAACTAACATTTCACCGATCTTGGTGCTTCCGATTTAGATGGATAATGAAAATACGTTTTATCAGGCTAACATTGATAAAGGATGGGCAGGTTTAACCAGAGCACTTTTGGGGATTCAAACAACCTAAAGTCTTTTGAGAAGATTTATTTTTATAAATATCAATTCATTTGTAGGCCAATAAATTATGTGGTTTGAATTCTGGCTATTGAACTTACATCTGTTAAGCAGGGGCTTGTGGAGAGACCTACTGAAGCTTGGGAAAATATATTTTATCCCCTTTACAAATAAAATGAATTTTAAAAAGATTTTGGGTATGTGCAAATGAGCAACTTTGTTTGAAATTAGAATGCTTCTGTATGGCAATTTATCACAGCAATTAACCATTTATTCCAGCTTTTGGATGGAAAAATTACAAAGTATTCATGTTCCAGTGCTCACTTAAAAAAAACAAAGTTGAGAAGACCTATTGTTTATAGATGTAAAAAGTGAAACTCTTCACTCTGACTCCAGGGAACTGTTTTCATAGCTGCAGGCATTTTACATTAATTTGAGTTAATATGGCGCAAGAAGTGAAAGTTGTTACAAGCAGTCTCTTTCAAGAAAGTAACAAACAGTGGGTTTTCTGCTTCTGTAATTTTACTTAGTAGCTGATTACGGTTTTGAATCTATGCTGTGTCAGGCTAATGGTTTTATTCCTCCAGCTCTTCTGAGTTAACAACTTGATTGGGTAATCCACCTGGCTATTAGGTTTAACAAAAGCATGGCTTTGCTACATCATTCAGCATAGTAAAATACTAAATTTATTTATGTTTTAGAATAAATACTAGAGGATATTCTTAATTAAATTTATAGCAAAGATTGTTATTTTTTTAATTTAACATGACTTTTTTTCTGTGTGGTGTCATTTAAGCTTTTGTGTTATATTTTTATACCATAATTTTATTCTTGGTGATACTCTTGTGCTTTTGGTATCCAGCTAGAAATGAGGTGGTATCTGAGCAGAGAGGAGGCGATCTCACAATAATAGGTTTGAGCAGCAGTCCTTTTGAGCTGAAATATTCTATATAGATATGTAAATGGGGATATATGCTTTTTCTATTAAGCTTTTGCTAAACTTAAATTTATCCTTGTCCTTATTTCATTTTATACTACAATTAGTCTACAATGGTAAGACTGAAAATATTTGCAGGAAAGAGAGAAGAAAAATAAACAGTTTAATTTGATCATTGGCCTTATGAGGCTCTGACGTACCAAATGGTGAAAGGTAAAGGCGTGAAAGAAGAGCTTTGCCAAAGCAGGGTTTGTGCATGTTTGTCACTTTAGTTATAAAGTAACTAAATTAGTCACTTGGTGGTCACTGCCTGGTCTGTGGACCCCCAACAGCTATGTCTGAACACAGATCCAAAAGCATCTATTACAATACCCAACGAAAGCGGCTGAGCCAACAGGGACATACAGACATTCCTCGTAGCTGTTCAGCTGCCGGACCATCTGGAGGGGAAATAAAAGGCCTGAGCTAGGGGCTCTGGCATTGTGCTCATTTATTATTTGGCTTTCCCTTGCCAGGCATTGTCCCCCTTTCACTCCCTCTGGCCCAGAACAGACGTCCTCTTTGGCTGGGATGCCGTTCTTACAAGCTCCTTTCTATATCTTGGATGCTGGAAAGTTCACAAGTTCACGCAGCCACTTCATGTTGGCCTTATGCTGGGGACTTCATCATTCCAGCTGCACCTCCACCTATGTCTCTCCCAGTCCCAGTTGGCACTATGATTTCATCAGCCAGGGCTGCCGAGCGGAGCACAATAACACAGCGTCGTAATGGACATCGCCGTCAGAGCCTGCACATTTTGGCGGCCTTGTTTTGAGTTGTTTGGAAGGAAAGTGCTCCAAGTAGTTCTTATTATGGATGGTTAGTGGGTGACAAATGTTTTGATTAATGGCTCTGTGCATCTGCCTCTTATTTAACCGTTCCTAGTGAGAACTCCAAATTATTGACCACACTGGCCCTTTTATTCCAGAGGAGTGGCTAAGGCTCCTGACAGTTTGGTTAGGGATGTAGGTGGTTGCAGGGAGCCTCAGGTTTGCGGCGGGCTTTATGAAAGAGGAATTATGCTTTTGCCATTTGAAGAAAGATTTATGACTCTAAACCCAACTTCCTTCATCTCTGAGTAAGATTCTTGTCATTGGTGGATGTCAGTTAGGCTTTGACTCTGGAAAGCATTGAATTGCACAGATGAGACATATTTAAGTGTTTGGGGGAATTAATTCAACGACTATCAATTCCCGGACTTTGCCCACTATTGAAGATATGGGATTCTTCATGATCGTTTTTACATACAAAGTTATTTCTTCCTTGCCCTAAATTCCAAAGATGCTTTATTAAAAAGAAATTACTTATTCTGTGTATCCCTAATGCCTTGGGGGCTATAATTATTCAATAAAGGGGTCAAGGATGGTAGGGAGGAAGGAGCCCCCCCGGACTCCCCATTACAACCTAGATGAGTTTGCAGACCTCAGGTGTGCTGTGCAAGCAAACAAGCGTTTTGGTACTTGGTACTTGTGTTCAGCTGGTTAACACATAAAGGTGGAGATAAGTGATTTGTCAATATCATTTCTGTGTTCCCATTCATTTGTTACTATGTATAGGATTGAGAGACGTTGTTTCCAGTCACAGCAGGGTTCCAGTCTTGGCTCCACCCTCGTGCTAGCGCTGTAGCCTTGGACAAGTTGTGGACTTTTGCCAACCCCCGATTTCTACATCTTAAATGGGAATATGAGATCTCTTTTAAAGTACTAGGAGGATTAAATATGATCATGTAGGTAAAGTACTCCACATAGGCCAGATTTATAGTAAATGCTCAGAAATTTAAAAGAAATGATTTCTTCTGAACTCCCAACAATATTTTAGCCTTTTTACTTTTGTTTCACATTAAATTTATCAACAATCTGCCTTCAAAAATTGAGGGAACGTTGAATATTACCTGCTGCCATCACCATTGAGTCATATAACATCTTACTGTACGCAGTGTGCAACCTGCCCATTCTTGCCCTCTGGAGTCTCGCATTCCGCAGCTCCTGCTCTGACTATGAAGGCAGATCTGTGGCTGATTGACTTGTGTAAGTTACCTCTCTTCAGTTTACTCCTTCTGTAAGTCACAGGTATCTTCATGGTGGTTTTCTCAGTTCCCCTCTGGTATCAACTTCCTCTGGGATTAACTACTCCTAGTTGCTTACCATATTTAACCCTCAGGACAGCCCCTCCAGATGGGCATTATTTTTCCCATTCTGTACGTGAGGGCACCAGGGAAGGTGTTTTAGTAATTAGCTGTCCTCCAAAGCCACATCCCATTGCAAACAAATGCAGCTCAAATATGAGAATCCTTGGCTCACTTACTTAATCCTTGAACCAAACTTCACATGGCCCTTGGCAGTGGGTGCAGGCTTCCTGTTTCTTCTTGGTTATGTCGAGGACTGAAAATGTCTTTTAAAAAGGGTTGGGTGGATGGGAGGGAGTAGAGGTGTGTTTCCTAAAGAAATAGGCATTTCGAACTCTTCATATGCTCATTTATTTCTGTAGCTCGTTAGGGTTAAGTTTCCACTCAGATCTCCATATGCTCAGTCCATGTTTGCTGCATCCTGGTGTGAAGGATACATTTCCCCAAATACTATGCATTTGGGGAAAGCTGTAAAAGAAATTGAAGCTGTAGACCTTGACCTTAAAGAAATTTTTGGCAAGTGGGGAGAAAAAAATTCTTGCACATGAAATTACTGGTGAACATTTGGGAAATAATATCAACTAGTAAAAATGCATTTTGTGCCAGAAGACAACTGACAACTTGTCACCATATGTAACGTCTTTTGGATGTTTTCTTACATACAATCATTTGTTCTCCTGGGGTAGGGCTGTTTTCTCTCTTGAGTCAAAAGAATGTTTTCTTATTAAAGGAATTTTATTTGATGACAATCCAGTGACCTCCCAAAGATCAGGGCATGATAGTTTATCAAACCCAAAGCCATAGATAGATAAGACCAGGACTCCTCAATACAAGGTGAGTTTTTGGCCCTCTTTCATTGGTGCAGATGGACAAATCCCCAACCCTTAAAAATAGTTTTTAAAAGGGGAAGTGTTAGAATTTGTTCACTTTTGGGGTTTTTTTAATATGCAAAATCAAGCAAAAGTAGAATATTCTGGCTTTTATGAAGTTGGTCAGGTTACAGCCCAAGGGATGGTTAAACTCCAAGAGTGAGTCTGAGAACTATGGCAACCGGGAAAATGCCAGAGCACCTTGGGGACTCTTTGCAGATCTCAGCTGACAAGTAGCTGGCTGACTCCAAGCAAATCTCATTATCCAAGCCTTGGCCTTTTCTAAATTCCTAACTCTTGTGGCTCTACTTAACACCTTGGTATTTCTTTTCTGATGCTTTGATGTTTATATAGCACTTTCAACTTATTTTGAAAACATTTATATGGTGATTAGTTAACCCAACAGACCAACTCTGGGAAGGTAGCCAGAACCAGCAGCACCTTAGTGACAGAAAAACTGATAATTAGGAGGAGAGACCTTTTGATACCCGGAGCCTGGACCAGCACAGTACCACTCCATGTCAATGAGCAGCCCCAGTAAAAATCGAGCTATGTGGCAGGGCTGGAATTCATCTTCTGAGTCGACCTAGTTCTGCTGAAACTCTGGGATGATCTTGGTTCCGTTTTAGCTTGTCATGTTTTGAACAGTTGTGAATGGAAAGAAGTCCACACAACCTCGAGGACATCACTGATTTGTATGGAAGCCTCTCGTTTTCAGTTCTGGCCACATTCAACATCTTAACTCACAAACATGTCTCCCATGTTGTAACGATCTGCTCCATGGAACATCACTTCTAAATTAGACTTTTCTGACCCAGGGCTTGGTTTACTTAACGGTGCTGCTTTCAAAAGTAGAATGGTGTTTGCGGGGGCTGGGGGAGGAGGAGATGGGAAGTTGCTGTGCTGTAGGTGTAAAGCTTATCATGCAAGATGATAAAAGATCTAGAGATCTGCTGTACAACAATGTGCATATAGTGAACAATACTGCACACTTCCAATTTTAATAGGGTGGATTTCATGTTATATGGTTCTTATAAAAATAAAAAATTATATTGGCAAAATAAATAACTTATTTTTTAAAGGTGCTGCTTTGTATAGTCAGGCGCTGATTCCGAGAGCCTTGTTTCAGATAGCTGAGGTCACCGTCTCAAGGGTATATGTTGTGTTTGTCTAGCATTGCATCATGGGGAAGGTACCTCCAGGTGTGCAGGTGTTAGCCTTTGATTGGAAGACCCAACACATTATAAATGAATTAATGTACAAGCAAAAACAAAAACAAAACCAGTTTCATTCTTTAAGTAGGATGTACCTAGTATTTTATGGTACATATTTTTAGCAAAAATGATTGTGGAAGTTATTGATGACCCCATGCTTTTACCAATCCCATAGCAAGTGGAAGAACAGAAGGCCTGGGGTTTGTGTGGGTCAGAGAGATGGAAGACAGAGTAACCAGATGAACAGAGGTGAGATGGCCCAGATGGCAGAGGTCCCCTGAGACTCTGTAGGGTTCATATGGTTTGTGGCTCCATTGGACCTCACTGTCTGAAAGGTTGGAATATTGTTTTCCCCTTTCTCTAGGCAACTAAGCATTACCTAAACCTCCCTGGGACTAAAGCGTGCTTCAGGGAATACTCTTCCTGTCACACCTTATGTAATTGCAGCAATCAAGTTAATTGAGTTGCTTTTTGAGGAACACGTGTAAAAGGCACTGGGTCTCATGTAAACAGGGAGGTGGTTTTGTATCAGACGTGTTCATTCAGTGCCTCCTGCTGCAACCCTCTGTCTAACTACAAAGAGGAGCATCTACTCTGCAGGAAGAGAAACTGAACAGCAGCTCATGCGAGCCAGCAGATTGCAGCATCTGGGCGGGCTGGCTGGAGCTTGCAGACTTGCATGGAAGCTGTAGCCCCGCAGTTGGTTGGCACTAAGTTACTTCATTTGAAAGGACTGGATGCCAGAAGTGGCCTTCCACTGTCTGTAAGTCCTGGGCTGGATGAGCTCACAGAGAATTGTTCTGTCTTGAGTTTGTCAGACTGGCTGCCCACCTGAGGGGACGCCTTTCTGCCTACAAGACTCCCTCTTTCTGGTCACTGGCCTGTGGTGACCTGACCTTGTTAGTGTTCCCCGCCCCCCGCCCCCGCCCCGGTGAAGCCCCCTGCATGGGGCAGTTCCACTGGCTAGGGCTGGGTCCTGGAGGGACCCGAGGTCTTGCCGGTGGGTGTGCAATATTACCTCTCCTGCTGGCCCTCACCAAGGTCCCGGTCAACTGGCACAAGGGGACCAGGGTGTGCAGAGGGTGGGGTAGTGTGCCGAGTGGTGGCAGCAGCAGGATTCTGGGGGCTGTCCCAACCTGTCCTTGTCTCTGTCCCGCACAGGTGACCGCTGTGGGCTATGGGATGGATGAGGTGGAGCAGAACCAGCATGAGGCCCGACTCAAGGAGCTGTTTGACAGTTTTGACACAACAGGCACTGGGTCCCTGGGACAGGAAGAACTCACCGACCTTTGCCACATGTTGAGCTTGGAGGAGGTGGCCCCGGTGCTGCAAGAGACGCTGTTTCAGGACAACCTCTTGGGCAGGGTAAGGCTGGGGAAGAGCTCAGCAGTGGGAAGTGGGTGCGGTTTCTGTCCGGGCCTGGGGGTGGGGCAAACCACACCTCTTGCAACTTGTTTCTAACACCCGCTCTTAACCTGAGAAACAGACAAAATGTAGTGGGCTTGCTGTAGCAGTGCAGTTTGCGCAGGTGCCGGCGCGGGGGGCGGGGGCGGGGAGCCTGCTCTCCTGTGCTCTCTGGAATGGCGTGAGCTGAGCATCTTAGGCAAAGACAGAAAGAGAGTTAACAGGAATGCTTTCCAATTTTTTTTCTTGATGTTTGTGGAGCATTTTATGGACTCCACTTTCATCACTGAGACAGCAGGGAGGTGACAGATTTCAAGTGAAGGGAAATGCAGTGAGGAAACTGCCATTCACAGGAAAGGCAGATTGCCGTTATGACTTCCACTCCCAATAAAGCTATTTCTTCTTATAGAAGAAATATAGTGGATTGTTTCTGGGGTGAAGTATTAATTAAACTCTTCACCCAGGAAGTAAGACAGGAGGGTAAGTAAATACAGTGCAGGCTCATTTAAAACCCAGCACGACTTGCTTCCAGCAGAGACGTGTGTGTGCTGATGTTAACTTCTGCCTTTGACAACAAATAGTTGTGTTCTCCCCATAGATCAAGTCACAGGGATGAGTAAGTGGGTTCTTCCCCTGCCCCCCATTTCTGTTAGTAGGAAGGATATTTGCTCCATCACGACCTGATACTGCCTTCAATTCTCATATTTATAATTAAGAGCATCATTTGTATGGCCTTAGATTGAGTCTTGCTATTGATTTTTTTTTTTGAATGGATGAGAGGAGAAAATGGGCAATACTTTTTTAGCCTGTTGCTGTCATTGCTGACACTTTGTAGACAGTAGTTTTTATCATGTGGTGTAAATTGAGGAAGCAGTCAGGAAGCTCAACTGTATTCCATTGACTGAACTTCCTTTTCTTTGCTTCATTTTCACTGTCTCTTAGCTGACAAGTTGGGTAGGTGACCTCAGACACCATATGACGTATTGGCTCTCTGTGGCATGAGACAGGCAGGACTAGTGACCGGCCTGATATTAATGCACAGAGGATGATGTTCTCAAGGGCTTGGCACCATGAATGTGGTGATTGACAGGCTCACGGTTACAGAAAGGAAAAAGTAACTTTTTGCAAAAGTGGGATCATTCTTGGCCACTTCGGAGTAGTTAGCTACTTGTGAATACATGTGGTCCCCCCAAAAATGCTAAAAATTTTGCTTTGAAAACAGTAGAAATGGGATATTTGAGGACTGAATCATTTGCTCCTTGTCACGTAATGCACTCAGGTTTTTTCTTTTTTAGTTCTGCCTCCATCCCACACATGTTGAGGAGCCAGAAAAGTAGCATTTCCCACTGTGGTCCTTGGAGATCTCAGGCTTTTTGGTGTCTAAGAAATACTATGAAAGAGTGGATTTCTTTTAATGCTTATTAAAGCCTGTGAAGACATAATAGAACTTAAGGTTTCCCTGAAGACTCAGTGTAAATATGGAAGCCTCTGCTGCACTGTGGCAGCAGGTTAGCAGTTTGCTCTCCAGATGTTGCACATCTTTGCCCTCATTTGGCAAACTAAAACAGGGGAGCACTTATCGATTGATTTGTTAATGACTTGACACTACCAGCTTGCTTTTTTTTTTATTTTTGCTGTTTGCATGTGAGTAAGGGATACCTAAGTGGTGTATAGCGTGATATTTACCTAGTGAGCCTGTGATAAAAGTTAAATAGATGCCTGCACATTGATTTCATGTGGGAGTCCCTGGTGATTGTCTTGAGAGCAGGGTTGACATGAATTAATGCACTACTGTTAAATTTGCATTTTTTATGAAATTGAATTATTCTCAGATGATCTCATAAATTTGGCCATATGCTGTTAAGACACTCTGTATGGTCTATAATTTTAAATTATAGGAGAAAAAATTCTTGGAATTCACAGAAGCAGTCCAAGTGCTATCACATTCTTGGTATATTGAGAAGGGTCACAAGTTATAATAAGTGTTTAATGCCAGTCATCTTTTTTCTCTTTGGGTATTATTTTTAGAAAACTTACAAGGGTTAGGAGTTTGGTTTAGTGAAACAGGAGGAAAAAAATAGTAGCATTACAAATCTAAATATATTCATCTATTCATTAATTCAGCATATATGTGTTGTTCTGTGTCCTGTATATCAGGCATTCTACTAGTCTTATGTGTCAACTTATGTTTGTTGCAAACTCCAGTTTTCCATTAAGTTGGTTTTTGGATACATTAGTGTCCATCAGCTTCCTGGATGCTTATGGTTTTAATTTGACCTTTTAAATCTTAACAAGTATAGTTTTTAAGTAAAACAAAACTTTAAGTTTACCTTTATTGGAATTGGGCTCAATTAATCATTGTTCCTTGAAAATACTCTCCCCCTCAACTAAGAACATGAATATCATCTGTTTATTTTAAAATCCACCTTTAATAACTTTTTGTTCTTTTTTCTTAAAGCCTAATGTTTCTTTTGACAGCTGTTAAGGAAAGCAACTTAAATTGACTTGCCATTTTCATGCATTTTACTAATAGACCATCTATGCCCAAATTGAGTTTCAGCTTGTCTGCCCGATCTTGCTTGATAACTTAGAGCCATGTTCCTCTGTGCACAGTGGTTTTGCAAGGCGGGGCCAAAGTAGGTTTACAATTGTGAGTATACAAAACACAGTGTATTCTTGTATTATTATTTGTTTTAATTATTGGGTTATTTTCCATATGAACAACTGTAAGCCTACTTTGGCCTCACCCTGTATGTAATAGTTTGAAATGCTGAAAGACTGTGAATCACCAATTTGAAGGAGAGGCAACATTGCTGGTAGGTGTTTCCTACTAGTTTATCAAAAGAGCTCCATTCATATTTTTGTCACAGTTAAGCCTCTGTTAGGTGGGTTACACCCCCAAGACAAGGGACTCCTCAAGACACTGAAGAATTTATAGCCTGGTCATGTAATGTACCTGAAAGGTGAGTAGTACTAGGAGCAAATACTACAAACATTAAAAAAAAAAAAGAAAGAAAGAAAGAACCACATTAACTCTTTTATTGAATAAAGTTTTCATCCAAGCATTTGATACCCATTGTAGGTGCTTCCTGGTTTTGTGTCTTTTAAATGATGTGTTTCAATATGCCTCTCTATCTTTTTTATTAGAAATCTGGACATTAATATGATAATGTACCTTGGTTTTATTGAAGCCTTTAATTACATCCTGTTAAAAAAATGCTCTTTCCATTCATACTGGAAAGTACCAACTTTGAGACAGAACAGCCCCCTGGGGCTCTGATGAGCCGCCTTGCCCTGCTCTTTAACATGAGCCTGGGTGCTGAGGGGCCCCATGCCCTTGGCACTCTCTAGAATCTGAACAAGCCACCTGGAAGCAGAACTCGTCATTGGCTTCCAAAGAATTCCATAGGTAGGTAGACCTTGGCCATCAAAGGCACTTAAACATTTTTTAGTATTAAAATTTGATAGCTGTACGAATATATAATTTAGCTCAGCTTTCCCACCTTTTGTTTTAAAGTGCTTGGAGTTCTTTTATGAAAATGTCAAGATTAATTTGCAGGGAGGATTGCTTGTTTGTTGTTTCTAATTCATTAAAGGCTTTTAAAGATTTCTTTCTTACACACATTTTAACCATTTGAAAAGTAAGTCAGAAATACAGAAGTACTTTCTGGTGGTGATTATTTGGACTTGTTCTCTGTGTGCAAAATTACGCTTGATCAGCAAATAGTGCCTATTTATAACTACCGTGTGTTCATGCTCTTATTTCATTTTATTGATCCAAACCTTTTTGAACTCATTAGAGTGAATGGTGGAAACATTTCTCATTGCATCTCTTAAATGTCTGAATGTTTACTGTGTCTTACTGTTTGGCCACCGGTGAGTAACCTGAAAGGGTGAAGGATATTTTCTGATTTCTATGTTGGTCTTGTGACTCTGGATCTCTCTCCATCAATCCCTTCTTTTACAACAATCTCATCTGGGGTGAATTAAACTCCTAAGGGTCTCTGGTTCCCATTTATAAACAAGAAGACATTCTGAGTAAGAGACTACAAGACTTGTTTCCATCCTGTATTAACATTTTCTTGTCAACTTCATTGCAAAATTAACTTTGGTTTTGCAAAATGTGAACCTTGAATCTCTCAGAGATTTAGAGCAAGGCCATAGGGGAGAGCTGTTGGGAAGGCCTTCCGCACTCAGTAGGAGTTGGGAACAAGTACTTAAAAAGCTGCTCTCTTCTACCTACTTTATTTCAGTAATGAGCATCTCTTTCACTAGAGAAAGTATGGTCAGGAATGTTTATTAAATTTCCATAGTATTCCAATGATACTTTTATGAGTCATCTTGTCTGGAAGAGAGGACTTAAAGTTCTTCAGTGTTCATCACAGGTTTTTAAATTTAAATGTTCATCTGTATGACAGAGGAACCTGGAATCCAGAACTTGAAACAGTACAGTGATATATGTCCAAGGGCAGGCAACACACTTGAAGGAGCACCAGAAGGGAAGCCCAGATTTCCCAGCCCCCGAGAGTGAATGCATGTCTCTGCAGACTCCTCGGACTCTGGACTCTGGACTCTAGATGTGCAAAATGAACCTCCTCCTCTGTCCCCCTTTAATCAGTCCCCATCCCCACCACCACATCAAGACAGTGTATCACTGAGGCACAGCCTTTGAAGTCAGACCTGGATATGTATGCTGACATTTTAGCCATATGAACATATTATCTTAAATACTCTGAGTGTCAGTTTCTTTATCTGGATAATGGGAAAAATAGTACCCTTCTTATAAGATTGTGAAGAAAGTTGACTTAGATTGTATATATCAAAGACATCCTAGAGCCAGGTGCACAGTTTACTACTGTGTTCTATATCTCCTTCCTTCTCTTACACACCTAGAACGGGTCTTTGATAAATAATGAGTTTCCAGCACTGATTTTCTGAGGAATCCCCTTATAATAGAAAAT